TCAACACATGCCTCATCAACATAAAGCACTTTTAACATCTTCATCACTCGAACAAGCTTATAACGAGGATCAAGAACAATAGCAATTGATAGGATCAAACTATATTCATCCCAATAGCCCTCAAACTTTTCAAGCATAACTTTTGCCATGGGTGCAAGTTTAGGATCTATATGGGCTTTACTTATTGTGTGCTCAATTTTTAAAACACTAGCAAAATACAAATTTGCAGTAGGATATTCTGAACCAGAAAATAACACAGTGATTTCATGAAATGGCTTTAGGAAATTACATATTTTAGTAAGGGTATCCCATTCATCATTCGAAAGTTTGAATTCATAACCTATAAACCTATCAATAACCAATTTCAAGGCTTCCTTTGCTTCCAAAGCTTTTCGAATCATCGTATATGTGGCATTCCAACGAGTCACAACATCAAGACGTAACTTTCCATTAAACACACAGTTAACCTCATGAAGAGCATGCTCAAATTGAGTGAGTCTAGAATCTGAAGAATCAATATATTTACAAACCTCACACAATTTTTGAACACTACTATCAACTTCTTTTAAACCTCTTTGAACAATAATGTTCAAGACATGAGCTGAACATCGAATATGAAAAAATTTACCATTACAAGGAAGAGGAGAAGTCAACATTAAATCTTTCTTCAAAAGGTTAACCATAACATCCATGGATCGAGCATTATCAACAGTCATTGCCTAAGACACCAATTTTTATCAACATAATCTAAAATTCAGAATTTTAGACCTAAGACACCAATTTTTATCAACATAATGTGCCGTTAAAGTAAGATAACCTCGATTAGTACATGCTGTCCACAAGTCACAAGTGAAGCTAACTCTACCTTCAATTCCCGAAAAAGATTGCAACAACAAAGACTTAAACTTATCATGCTCATCAATACAATGTTTCAAAATAGTGTTTCTACACACATGATTCACGTTGGGGTTCAAATTCGTAAAAACTTCCCTAAGGCCATGATGCTCCACAATACTTAAAGGATAGGAATGCAAAATTATAGCTCTAGCAAGCAATTGTAAATGACGTGTTTGATTAAACAGGAGCTCAACACCACTTTCATGATTTCCAGGATGGTGTGGATTTTTATTCATGCATGTCTTAGTATGAGCTTTACAAGTTGAAGTACCAGCATTACCTGGAGTTTTATATTCATTACCGCAAACATTGCATCGAGCATATTTTATCGGAGCAAGACCAACCATCTTATCAAAAAAGGTGTAATACCTCCAAACATCTGATGTTCGTCCACGCTTACTACCACTAGTGGTACGTTGAGTAGAATCTTGATTCTGAACAGTAGAATCTTGATTCTTTACAGTAGAATCCTCATCAAAACCAATAAACTCTTGCTCCATTGCTGAAAAAACAAAAACACAACAGTATAAATCAAGTGAAAAAAAAAGGCAAACTAAGGGCAAATAAAAAAAGATAGGCAAATTAACACAGCAGCTCCGGACCTGCTTGCTTCAAGCAAAGCACACCAGCAACCTAGCCCAGCAACAGACAGACAACACAGCCCAGCTAACACAAGACGACAGCAAAACCACAGCTGCAATACCCTAGAAAACCAGCAGCAACCAACCCCAGCACCCAGCCTGCAGCAGAGACATCAACTAGGACAGCACAAACCATGGCCAGAAAGACTCTGCTCTGAACAGGGCAGAAAACACCCAGCAGATCCTACAATCTAGCCTTGTACATCTAGCAGATCTGGCCAGACATTAGAACAGCAGCAGCACAGGACAGACCCTAGCTAGTACTACATGCTCTAAGCTGAGGTAGTCCATCTACAATTCAGTCCTAAAATATACTAAACACTATTAGACAACTCCTATCTGAATGCACTTGCACTTTTGCAACAAAACAAAACCCAAACTTAAATCAAAAAATCCTGCTAGCATTCAGCATTAACCCACATAAACAGAAACACTAATGAGAGAACAATGCAGCTGATAGAACAAAGGATAGCATTCAGTATATTTGAAGACTAATAGAGCATTATAGACAAAGCCATACATTTTAAATGCTCAACAAACAGCAAACAGTCACAAAGGCAGACCAGCAACAACACAGCAGCCTGAAAAAAACCAAGCACAATTAATAACACGAAAAGAAACCACGAGCATGAATAAGGTAACCAAATCAACTCAATTGTTGCTCATGGTACTACAACCACAACCCTGATCAGAACTGAGCATAGCCAAAGCTGGTAAGGCCAGAACACCTCACAAATAGATATAACAAAAAATGAACAACAAGAACAATAAAATTAAAAAATCAGAAATTAAATGAACAACAAGAACAATAAAATTAAAAATTACATGAACAACATCAAAAAATCAGAAATTATATGAACAAATCAGAAATTATATGACATTATATGAACAAATCAGAAGTAAAAATCAAAAAATAAAGACATGCAAATCCTGCAAACAACGAATCAGCAACATAAAACCGAAATGAAAACAAAAAAATTAACATAAAATTACCTTTGAGCAGTGACGGCTTGAAGGAGAGGAAGATTTGAAGATGGAGAACTGGAGAATGAAAAAAAAAACGAGAATGGAGAGATCGAAAAAAAAATCAAAAAAAATGAAACGAAAACAAAAACAATTAACTAAAATTTACCTTTGAGCTATTGAAGGCTAAGAGTTCAGAGCTTGAGAGTTGAGAACTTGAGAGTGAGTAAGGATTCAACGCTTCGATTTGAGGATGAAGAAGAAGAACGGTGAATGCTGTGGAATGAAGAGGATGAATGAAGAACCTAATTGCCTTTCAGTCTTTCACAGTTTCACGTTTCACTTTTTTTTTTTTTTTTTTTTCTCTTTTGCATAATATATGAACCACATGTTTATTTAATTATTAAAGAATCAAAATATCTAAATTCTAAATCTAAAATGTGTTTTTCCTTTTGGTTTTTGGAGGGAAATTTCCCACCATATTTTGTTGAAATTGTCAACCAAAAAAATGAAATTAATTTTCCACTTTGTAAAAATCAAAATTTTTAATTTTATTTTAATAACATTAAACAAACTTTTATACAATTAATTAATTACATGACTTAAAAAAAAACTAATTACATTTCTCGGATCCCGATAAAACGATATTCACCTTCATAATATCAGCTTTTATAATTTTTTTTAACACACACATTAAAATATTAAGTTCTTTAAATTATAAAATGTGAATCGGTTAGCGTGTAATTTCTAGGCGTTGCGATTAATAAAAAATCGAAAATTGTTCAATAAATAATGATGTCATATCTTAGAGAGTTAGAAGTACTACGGATTTGTTATATGGTTATATTTATATCAGTTTAGCTGTACCTATAAGCAATACACTTGTAATCGTGTAAACTTATAAATGATATAGTTGACTAGTAGATTAGTACATAAATACAAATTACTTAATTAGATATGAGTTATGTCTACATGAGTGATTGACTAATATGACTATATGAGCAATTGTCAATTTAGCATAGCTGCATAACAGATTAGCAGCGTACTAGACTATCATACTCGGTAATATACTAATACCATTTCAGTATTTGATCTACTAGACTCAAGTTAAAAGTTACTCTTTCTGATTAACTTGTTAGTCTAATTAAGTAATTACTAATTACTAATTAGTGACTTAAGCCTTAAGGGTAAACCAGTAAAGGATATACAAAAATATAATAATCTTATGTTTCTCATCCCTTTATACTAATAATATCTAACTATGAGAATATGAGATGGTTATATGTTATGTATCTGTATAATCGATTGAAGGAATCAACATTACCTTCTTCTTCATTAATGTTTTCTTTCATTATACAAATCAAACTACTCTGTAATATCTTCATGTATAACTTTATGCAAATATATAATGATAAACGAGTCTTAATTATCAGTCTTGTTGACTAATTAAGTATCGAATACCAAATTGCAAATTTCGATGTCACAACAACTCATCAAATCATGATTATGACACTATTAACTAAATGATCAAATCAGAAGCAGATAATAATCTGATAGTAAAACAATAATACATTAATGCACTAAACTTTTATAATCTACTTCATAATAAATTAGTAAGATCAGTATAGCTAAACTTAAATCATAACATGATATGTATTTATAAAATTAATGAGAATTTGCATATAATATGATGCCTCAATATGAAGTGATGAAGTCTCGGCTTGATATAAAACTTGTTAACTAGCAAAAAGTTAGAAAGTAGTACAAAATTTTTTGAAATCAAAAACAGACTCGAACCGTAATTTAGTAAATCTGAAATAAAACCGATCTAAATAATGTTAAATCGTAGAAGAACCAAACCCGTGAACGAACCGAACCAGTTATAACCGAACTAAAATAAAACTAAACCAAAAAACAACCGAACCGTTTCCAACCTGAAACTGTTTGAACCGGGATAATAACCATTTACACCGAACCGTTAACAAACCGCAACCCGTCTGCACCGAACCGTTTACTACCTGGAATTTTTACAACCCGCACCGTTTACAAACCGAACCGAATTTAAACCGGGTTAAAAACCATTTACACCGAACCGTTAACAAACCGCAACCCGTCTGCACCGAACCGTTTACAACCCGAACCAAATTTAAACCGGGTTAAAAACCGTTTACACCGAACCGTTAACAAACCGCAACCCGTTTGCACCGAACCGTTTACTACCCGGACCGTTTACAACCCGAACCGAATTTAAACCGGGTTAAAAACCGTTTACACCGAACCGTTAACAAACCGCAACCCGTTTGCACCGAATCGTTTACTAACCGAACCGTTTATAACCCGAACCGAATTTAAACCGTTCAAGAATAAACCGAAACCGAACCGAACCGATAATTATTTAAACCGAACCGAAACCGACCCGTAAGACATTTGAACCGATTTCAAACCGAACGGATTTCAAACCGAACCGAAACCGAACTGTCAAACGAACTGTTTTTCCTCATCTTGGTGTTTATAAATTTTTTTCAAATCTAATTTTGTTATTAAAATAATTTCATTCTTTTAATTAGTTCCTTTCTACATACGGACTATCTAATGATTTTAATCTACTTAATTATATGTTACGCAAAACAAAATACACTACAACGAATTTCATTTGTGATTCAGAAATAAATTTTTCTACTAATTTCTGTAAAGTTACAAACAATCTCTCGTCTTTCCACATAATTATTTAATTTTTTTGTTTCCGTCTTTTAACCTCTAAAATAATCGCTTAGCTTGCAGAAAACATTCCAGCAGCATATGGAACACCAGTCTGAGGGATCCATTTGTCGCCGCTAACGAACAACTTAGCAGGAGTGAAACCATCAGCTTGTTGAGGGCTCAAAGTCTTGAGTCCCGCCCATTTAACTCTCTTAGATGTATCAGCACCTGTACCTTTGTTTTGGTACTCGGCGTAGAACAATGTGTCAAGGGCGAAGGTTCCTCTCCATTCTGTCCATCCTTGAGGAGCGATGCAGTCATCTATGTTCGAGTACATGAAGATGGTTCTAGAGTACTCCTTCCATGGTCGTCCCAAGTAGGCTGGGAACTGAGCCTTTACTGCCTTGTAGTCAGGCTCACCGGAGATTGTACAACCTTCCATCACGAACCCTCCTGGTCCTTTCTCCTCGGTCCTACCTTGGGCTGTTACCATACATTGTTGGTTGGGTCCTGGCTTTCTTACTAGCAACTTGCAGTTTTGGAACACTGCTTGTGCATCACCAAAGATGAAATCGATTGTGCCTGAGATTGTACAGTCTCTGTAGAATTGACGACCTCTTACTGCGTACAATGTGTCTTGGTGTCCGCTAATGTGGCAGTTGTATATGACGGCGAAATCACTCACCACCCTTAAGGCAACTGCTTGGTGGCCTTGTGGTCCTGCAGTGTTCTCAAATCCTATGTCCCTTGCCATGAATCCATCTCCAACAGCGCCTATATTAATTGTAATTGGAGAAAATTATTAGCATATAATACATTTTTGAGATATATCTAGCATATTTTATAAGTGAGAAAATTGCACCTATAATTTACACGTAAGTACTTACCAACCGTTGAAGTCTTAAAAGTTTGAATACCATCAGCAAAGTTCTTGCTCCCTGTGATGATAGTCTTAGTAGGTCCATCACCGACCAGAATGACATTAGTATGCTTCTTTTCGATGAGGACGGTCTCCTTGTATGTACCTGCCTTAATGTAGATAATGAAGGGGATTTCGTTCTTTAGGGGCACCTTTCCTACGGCTTCACCAATGGTCTTGTATTGGCCAGAACCATCTTGAGCGACAATAGCATCAGGCTTAATCTGAGAGACAGGGACGTTCATAATTTTGCGCTTAGGGTCATTGACCCAAGGAGGCATCTCACCAGCAACCCACACTCCCTTACCTGCCTTGTGAAGAAGACGACGGTGAGCTGAAGAACCAGCACCACTACCAAGGGCACTAAGGTCAAGCCCTGGGATGTCAAGGTATTGAAGCATAGATTTGGCCTCAGTGATGATGTTCAAGGCATTGCTGCTAAGCTCACGCGACACATTGAAGAAGCTACGCATCTTAGTACCTGCATCACTAGTAGAATTCTCAAACGCCTCGAAACAAACCTCTTGATAAGTAATGGCACCACCAATCCAAACCCTTAGATCTTCAAGGAAGTCATCAACATTATCCATCGTAAAGGCACCCACAGAATCCACTGTCCTCTCAAGGTCATTAACGGCATAGCCAACCACTTCCTTACATATCTCCAAGCCTTCAGCTGCACGAGGATCATCTTTAGCAGCCTTAATCGTGTTGGATTTCTCCAATGCTTTTGTTATCTCGTCCTTTGCCACCCTAAATGCCGTCTTCACCAACTCCTTTGGGTCGGTAGTGTTTCCAGCCGAATTACTCAGGGTTGTTTCACAAGCTTGCTTGTACCGCGTTGGTTGGCATATGCTTTGGATTGCTTTCGTACCGGAGGCAATCTTATGGTCATCTCCGCCACCTTTGTTGGGTCCGTCATTACCATGGCCATACTTCGAAACACCAAGTGTAACAGCCGCTACACATGCCACCACACATATGGCCGATATAGCAATAACAATAGGGCTCTTTCCCATTTGGTAAATTTTTTTTTTTTTTTGTTTTAAGGGTAAGAAAAATGTGGTGGGATTAGTGTTTTTTTTTTTTTTTTTTTTTTTTTTTTTCTTGTTTTTCTTTTTTGATTGGTAGAGCTATTGGGGCTTAAGTCCCTATTTTTATTTTAATTATTGAAATTGTACAAGCCCCCAGAAGGCTCTATAATGCTATGTAAGATTGCTGGGAAGAAGTGTTTAAATAGAGGTAAAATGCTAAATAAGAAAAAAAGAATGATGTAGCGCATCTATAGTCAAGATTAGAATTTTGTGGTTATTTTCTAAGTTAAAAAAGTGTTTTGAATCCTTTATCTTCGTTTGGTTATTTTGGGGTTGATTAATTTTAGGACAACCAGTGGATTGCAATGGTCTTAAGCTTTGGTGATTGATATTAGTGGAGCTAATAATATCATATGAAATGAACACTGTTAATTTACTTTATTTAGATTTATGCTATGTTTGGGGTAACTCATAATCATTGTATAATGCTTAACAAAACTATATTGTCAAAAGAAATACTACAATATAAACTTATTACTTCTTCAGTTTTTATTTAGTTGACACCATTTGATTTTTGCACTATTTACAAACTATACTTTGACTAACTTTTATGATCTAAAGTCATGTGTGATCTTATTTGAATTGTCCCAATATATATTTTATTAATATCCACTTTTTATAATATCACAATGCTTATAATTAAAGATATTAATCGTAAAAAATGTGTATTCGTGATAATAGAAAAGTGTTCATTTAAAAAAAAACAGAGGTAGTATTACACTTACAAAAACGAGTTCATACGAAATTTTGGTGATAAAACTGTACATGATATGAAAAGAGTAGTGCTAATCATGTATTTATTAGAATGGAAAATTATATTCATAGTAAATATAGTACTTCGTATTACAATTACTTGAATAGGACAAATTAATTAACATAAAGCACACTCACCAGTCACCACTATGATGTGACTTATTTCTTATCCAACGAAAAACACTATTTCATTTATTTAAAGTCAATGCTATAAGTCTAAGAACTGGAAAGTGATCAAATTTTATAATTGTATAGACTTTCTATATTTTTCATTTTACCTCCAAGGACTTTTTCTTAACAGACAAAAGTAGAATATATTTAAAGAAGGCAAACATACTGCCTTTGCATACAGCCGTCAGAAAGATTAACCAAAGCACCAACACTAAAAGTTTTTATCACCCAAAAAAGAAGACACAATCGGCAGTAAGATTAGTTGGAAGCAGCAGCTTTCATTTTAGTCTCATAGACTTATGGTTATTAATTATTAATTTATTTACGATTTTGCCGGCAATAAGATGATAAAGTGGGGCTTCCTCGGAAAAAAAATTGAGGAAAATAAGATGATAAAACGAGAGTAAAAAAATTACACATGACTTAACCTTTAAATTTCTTTCAATTACTATTCATTTTTCTCATAATATAAGTGTACATTATAAAAAAATACATTTATGTTTCTCCATTTGACTTTTGATAACTTGTGCATCACTCTGATCGAAGACTAATTACCATTGGAATAGTGTACACAAGAACATTAATTGTTTGTTAGAAGTTAATACATGGCTTAAAAATAAAGTTGTACTTCGTACCTGATGACTCCACCTTGATTTGCTATACTTTAGTTTTGATATGATCATATGATAGTGTGATGGAAGTCAAAAAGAGTCCAATATAATTATGTATTTATTTTGTGGTGGACTTATATTATTTTTGCTATTATGTTGCTCGTGTATGTTTTTATCTCTAACAAATTACAAATCTATTTTGCAGCTTACTTATAGAAATAATGATTAATTTTGTTTTAATCAGAATATTTGATTAGCATTGCTTTTGAATTTCGAATTTATGTTGCTAACCAATTTTTCCTTAAGTTGAATATTTGTTTGACAGATTTTTCTAGAAGATTTCTGTTAACAAATATTTTATATTCTGTGATTATATTTCTGTCAAGATAATTTTGTTAATAATTTTATCTTATAATCTTGTTAATTATTTTATCTTATAATATTGGAATTTTATCTTATGTATGTTGTGAATAATATTTATCTTATATTGCCTAACCTCGTTTCAAGGAATTTGTTAGCCTGCTATTGAAACAGATTACAGCTGGCTGATATCTTCAAAGATAATCGTTGAAAACAGAATGCAGCAGCTTGCAAACGTTCAAAATTCAAAAGGCTGAAAATTCTGTTGAAGCAAGTTTTAAGGAAATCTGTTGAAGAATTTCAAACCGTTTGAAGTCAGCTTCACAACGTTTGAAATCAGTCTTGAAGCCTTATAAATAGCGTGAAGACTTGCTGGGATTAATCATCGAAGAATTCAGAAGTTTTTATGCTATCTAAAGTTGTATTTTCTCTCATTCAATCATAGTCTGTTTATTACTTAAAGTGAGGGAAAAATCGAGAGTGTACACTTGTACTTAAATTTGTATTCTTGAGTGTTACACTTCGGAGTAAAGTTATAATACTCGAAGTTATTCTTGAGTGAGGGTTAGCTTTTATTTCTAGGAATTGAGTGTCTAATGTGTAGCGGGGATGCTACGGAGAGAAGATAGTGAGATCCTCTAGGATGCTTTAGAGCTCTAAAGGAGGAAATAAAAGTTGGTTTAAAATCCTGCGGGTCTAACAACCATAGGCGGAGACGTAGGCCTTTGTGCTGAACTTCGTAACAATTGTTTATTTCAGCATTTACTTTTGCCTTGTTCTTGCTTTCGTTTTTGTTTTAAATATATTTTAGCAAAATCCAAACAAACGTTTCTAACATTCTGATTAGTAACTGTTTTACTTTATAAATAGTTTTCAAAGTCTTGAATTTTAAAACAGAGATCAGTTTATTCCGCCCTGTAACTGATCTCAAGGTCTTGACTTATCAGTTTTGCGAAAATTGCCCATATTCTATTCAATCCCCCCCCCCTTCTAGAGTATTAGTACGTTTGTTTCATCACTATCGTGATCCTTTCAGTACCCAATAGATGCCAACTTCTATTGCCCAAACCTTCATTCTCCTTACCCTTGGGGGTGTTACTCTTTTCTCAAACACTATCATTGATCGTTTACCCACTAACCCAAATCGAAGTTGACCAATGTGAAAATCTGGCCCAAAAAGAATTTCTCCTTATAGAAAAAATGAAAACTAAATTATAACTTTCCAATTCTACATGTCTTAATTTTGGTCTTCAAAGGTATTGTGATATAACACAAGCATAAATCCGCTAAGACTTCCACAAATTTTATCTTCAATTTTATAAATTAAAGTTAACATAAGATTTCCTTGATGTCATACGTATGAATCCAAAAAAAATAAACTATAATTACAAACTTGAAAAAAAATTATGAACTTTAATAAACTTATGAACCTTTAACTTGAATGAAATTATGACGAAACCGTACAAGAATCTTCTCATAATCATATTGCTTAGATTTGTTGTTAAATCTTTCTTGTATGGATTTATGTATAACCATCATAAGACCAAATAAGAACTAAACATGAGTAATAAAATCAGAATTAATCTAGAAGATGAATAACTTTTTTCAAGAGCAACCCATGCTCACCTCATCTATAATGTTCATTACTGAGAATAGTAACACAAGAATCATCTCAATACTCACGAAGTCGTGAACACCATACGCCGGGTGAGCCAGATGACTCAAAAGCAGGACTAGATCTTCTTTCATCCCCTTGTTTTTTCTTTTCACAACACAAAAGAAATGGGTAATTAGCACCATGTCCTTCACCTATAATTTCTTCCCTTCTGCCAAGCTTACTCGCATTTGTCGGCCTTCTAATTCCTATGTTTAAGGAAGCGCAAATAATGTGTTACTATACAAAATTTTATAAACTATACTACTTCAGCAAACATCTGAACAAGGCGAAACAGATTGTAAAAGGAAAAGAATGTGATAAAAGATTACCACTCCATTAAGAGATTCAAGGGCACTTTCCATTTCTGATCTTGTTGAGTAACAAACGAAACCATAGCCTTTTGACTTACCGGTCTCTCCATCAAACAACACTCTTGCTCCCACCACCTTTCCATACTCTTGAAACGCTTGGTACAAGCTATCTGAGGTAACTGACCAAGACAAGTTACCAACGAACAATTTGTGATCGGTCTCTGGAAATAAGGGCTCTCTCTTCCTTGGATTATCAGCAAAATTCACTCTCAAATATCGCCCACCATATTCCTGCATCGAATAATCAAAGCATCTTAGTAATTATTTCGTCTTTTGGTTGATCGCCCTTGTGCATTGAATTTTAACAAGGCCATCTTAAATGATTGATCTCATGATATCCGCTAATTGCCAAACAGGACCAAAACGAATTCTAAATTTGTCATTTCACAAATTGCTACTTCGTATTTTGTACATGTGCTTTCAAATCACCTTGCAACATCCGACTAAACCACTATGTTATCATAACAACCAGTTAAAATCCGCGTTAACAAAACAATTAAGCATATTGACACATTCAATTCACATGTATAAGATGAATTTACACTAAAATCCTAGCCACTTCCAAGAAACTGTAACACTAGAACTATTTTTCGATAGAAACTTTTAACTTATGATTTTAAAACTAAAATGCAAGACTGATAGATTCTTACACTTCCATCCAAATTCTCAATAACAGCATTGCAATCCTCAACACTGCTCATGGTGACAAATGCAAATCCTCTGCTTTTCCCTGTGTCTCTATTATATAGAACCTGTAAAATGCAGTAAATTTGTAATATATTAAAAATGATGATATCTAATTCGTGCTGCAACACTTTGACCAGCATAGAGTATTAGGATGTTGGGTCGAATGTGTTAAACTAATTAAGAAAATGTGTAGAAGATTTTGATTTAACGAAATGTTTCACTAAGAAAAAACAATCATTTTTATACAATTAATACTTTAAAAAACAAAAAAAAAAAAAAAAAAAAAAAAAAAAAAAAAAAAAAAAAACATTGAAGGGATAACTAAATAGGAATTAATTAATAAGGTTGTGTCACAACGGTAATATATTAAAGCTAGTTTATACTCTTTCGTATAGGGGTGCTTGAGTTTCTAAGTGAATTGCAATCCACTTTCAAAGTCATTATGATATCAGCATAATCCATTATACACTCGGATATACCTAGCCGCTAGTCTGCCTAAATCAGAAGACTACTCAGAAATTTAAAATAAGAAATTACAAAAAAAAAAGAATAAATAAATAAATGTCAAACATGATACCTCAACCAATTCAGGGGTGCCATACTCTTGGACAATACCAGCAAGTTGAGCACTATCACAATGATAAGGCAAATTCCCAAAGTAAAGCTTAGTATTCACTTGAACTTCATCATCTTTCTTTTCACTTGAACTTTCACTTTCAATTTGTGCTTCATCTTGTGCCTGCTCCACATCACCTGCAGTTTCTACCACTTCCTCCTCGGTCACCGCAGCAGCTATCCTCGGGGCTCGCCGCTTGTGGGATACGCAAGCGATCGGAGTTGATTCATTTGTAAAACAATAATGTTGTGAAATTAAGGGTGAGTATGATTTCTTTGTTGAACCAAATTTTACTTGGATTGGGTCAGATGGTAGTTGTTTGTTAGTTAAAAATGCGAAGGATGGTTTCGGTGTCGAAAGCGAAGATTGCACGGTTGTGCTAGCGGTTGCTGCGGCAGCCATGGGTAAAAGAGTTAGAGTGTGGAGGTTTTGTGTGGTGTTTTTCCCCCTTTTGAGCAGCTCAGGCAGTTTGGTAAGAGTTTGTGAACAGGAGTTGGCTAAAATATGAGGTTGAGATGAGGAAATTCTGGCCAAAGAGAAAAGGAAAGGCTAACTTAATGGATTTTTGGATAAGGTTATTAGGAAATACTTCCTCTGTTTTTTTTTTATAGTTGCAATAATTTTCTTTTCAAACTTGTTGATATATGATTTCAATCATTAATATCTTTAATTACTAATATATAAAAATTATAAACATTTGATATTAAAATAATATAAATCGAGACGAATCTAACAACATCACACGTGACTATATTTTTGCATAATTATAAATCATTAAAGGTAGTCAAAGTGGAACACATGAATAATATAAAAGTCAAATTGTGACAACTATTAAAAAACAAAAAGGAAGAAATAAGAATTAGAATTTGGATTGAAAAGTGTTTTTTCCTTAGTTTCAAATTAGATGACACATTTGTTTTATCATATTTGTTAATGTATATATTCAACTGTAAATATATCTAATTATCAGTAAAAATTTTAAAAATTTGATATTTTGAAAATACATATTGAGAAAATTTTAACAATTCTACCCCCATTATGCTTTTTCTCATCTATAAATCACAAAGGCAAGTCAAAGTAGAATTTTAAATAGTGTTAAGAGTTGAGTACTTTCTACTTCTTCTGTTCCAAATTAAGTGAATCAATTTGGCTAAAATGATTGAAAATGTATAATTTTGACCATTAATTCTTTTAATTAGCTATACTCTTCCTTCATTTTATTTAAGTGTAACATTTTGATCCTCATTTAGGAGCTTGAGTTGGATTTGTCAAATTAATATGTATGTAGAATTTGTTGGGAAATTTATATATAGAAAAAAGAAAAATACAATGTATTAGATAATTTTTGGAACGAATGGTGTAATTTCTATATCCTTAATGGTTTCCCTACTTTTCTTCATGTGCAATCTAAAAGATTGTTGTATTTTAATATTTTTAAACTGACATGATCCCTTTTTCTTTTTTTTTTTTTTTTCTTTTTGCCATTACTACTTCCTCTATTACATATCTCTAACACTTTTCGTTTTTATCTGTTTTTATAATGTTCTTAATATATTCACGTTATTCTATTCTTTGACAAACTTTTAAGTAAACTAAATGTACAATAATGTAAGAGTGATGAATAGCTTAAGTGAATAGAGCTTCCCTTTCGATTATAGGAGATACATTATTTGTAAAATTAAACATTATCAAGAGGTTTTCCAATATGTTTCAAAAAAAAAAAAAAGGTTCTCCAATAAACTAGATATGAATAAAATTTAGGATATTTAGAATTTAACACCAGACAAAAACCCGAAAATGGTTTTTAACACCCCCATAAAAAATAAAAAAAAAAGTTATTTTAACACCAGACAAACTTTACAAAAATGGTTTTTACCACTACTTAACGGTCTCCGTCCAAAAATTCCGTTAAGTGGGGTCCACAGTGACATGTGTCACCATTTTACTTGTTTTTAAAAAAAAAATTAAAAAAAAAAAATTCCTTAATCTACCCAGCCGGCAGCCACCCTAGCCCCACCACTGCCCCACCCAGCCACCTTCACCCAACGCAGCCGCCGGCCAAACACCGTCGCATCCCCTCCCCCTCCCTTACCCAACACACCTAAACCCTCCCCCTCCCCCTCCGCAACCCTAATCCGCCCCAAAACCACCTAACCACTAATGATTGAAACCCTAATCCGCAACCCTCCTTCCCAAAAATGGCCACGAAATCGGCCATTAATGGCTGAAATCGGCCGGTTTTGAGGCTGAGTGGCCTTAACCGGCCGATTTCGGCCATCAATGACCGAATTCGTGGTCGTTCTTGGAGAACGATGGCTGTAGGTAGATGGTTTTGGGGTGGTTTAGGGCTGCGGGAAAAGGGTGGAATGGGTTTAGGTCGGTCAGTGAGGGAGGGGGAGGTGGTGCGCCGATGGCTGCATCGGCTGCTATGGGTCAAGGTGGAGAAGAAGGTAGCAGTGGTGGGGCTAGGGTGGCTGGGTAGTTTTAGTTTTTTTTTTTAGCCAATAATAAAGCGACACGTGGCATCATGGCCCCACTTAACAGATTCCTAAACGGAATCAGTTAAGTGGTGGTAAAATCCATTTTTTTTAAATTTGTCTGGTGTTAAAATAATTTTATTTTTTTTCTATGGGGGTGTTAAAAACCATTTTTGGGTTTTTATCTGGTGTTAAAATCTAAATTATCCTAAAAGTTACTTTTTTTTATTATTATTATTAATAACACTGCTCTTTTTCGAAGAGTAAAATTCAAATTCTAGTATTTGAAGGTAATCATATCATCCACTTATAAAACTTATACCATAACTTATTACCATTAAAATTATAAAGTTACCCAAATTAGTTAAAAATCACCATAAAATTGGTGGATTGCTAAACATCGCCTACAAATTACCAACTAAAGCCCACAAATTTCCATTGAGTTGACAATATTGCCCTTGAACAAAAAAAAAAAGAAACACTCCCTTATCACCCAAAAAATAAATTTCACCCACTTTCATTCTACGTTTTTTTTAAAAAAAAAATTCAAAGTACGGCAATGTCGAGGCGGCAAGGCAAGAAATTAGCGGCGGCAGCGGCGAAGGGAAGGAGGTCTCACGCTGGAAAGGTAAGTTTTTTTTCCCAAAAATAAAAAAAATAAAAAATAAAAACTGTTGTGGCAAGGCGGGGCGCATGGGGAGGACGCCACGCCGGTGGTGGTGGCGCCAGGAGCAGACGCCGGAACCACGGCCCTGGCGCCTGGGTTGGACGCCGCCGCCACGCACCTGGCGTCTAGATCTGTCGCCGCCGCCACCGGCGTGGCGTCCTCCCCATGCGCCGCCACCACCGGTGTGGCATCCTCCGCATGCGCCCCCCTATTTTTTGTGTTTTTTTGTTATTTTGTTTATTTTTTTTTTTTGAAAATCAGTTTTGTTTTGTTTTTTTTTTTGAAAATCAGAAAAAAAAAAAAAAAAAAATTGGTTTTTTTTTTAAAATCAGAAAAAAAAAATTTGTTTTTTTTTTGTTAAGTAATTCTTTTTTGAAATTAGAATTTTTTTATGTTTTTTGTTTTTTGTTTTTTTTAGTTTTTATTTTGAAAATCAGATTGTTTTTATTTTGTTTATTTTTTTGAAAATCATTATTTTTATTTTGATTTTTTTTTTTTCAGTAATTTTTTTTTGAAATTAAAATTTTGTTTTTGTTTAATGTTTTTTTAAGTTTTTTTTTTTTTTAATCAGAATTTTTTTGTTGTTATTTGTTTTTGTATATTTTGTTGTTTATTTTTATAAATTTTTTTCAATGTTGTTGTATTTTTTTTTACGTTTATACTTCCTTTACATTTCTTTGTATGTTTGTTTTGTACATTTTTTTTTTATATTTGTTATTGCAATTTGTTAGTAGGTTTTTCTGTTTAGTTTATTTGTTTTAATTTTTCTTTTATGTTTATATATATTTTGTATGTGTTGGTTTTTTATGTGTATACATTTTTTAATTTTTTGAAGGTGTCGCATTTTCGCCATGGTGCGGGGAAGAATCTAAACCTTATTAGAAGTGGAAACTACTCGATGGAGAGCTTGGGGCCGAGACATCTTAGATCCCGTGGTATTTCGGCCTCGGCTCGTAGAGAACGGGTTCACCATCGGGATGAGGATGAAGATGATGATGATGATGAAGAGGAGGAGGAGGAGGAGGGCGCATATGAGGATGTGGACGATGGGAGTGGACCATATGATGAGTATTGTCCATTCAGTCGGAGGCTAGATGACATGTACGAGACGCATAGGGTAGATGTGCGTAAGGGTAGGGATGGTAGGTTTGTTAGTAGATCTGGCACATCAACTGCGTCCACCGTGTCTGGGGCAAGCAGAAAACGGTCGAGGGTCGTTAATGATTCTTGGGTGGTTAAGGGTGAGGTGCCTGGGGGGCCTGTAGACGGGAGTATGATTCCTAGCTTTCTAGGACACATAGATACCCGTATCTAGGAGGACCAGGAGAGGGGTTTGGTGACGGGCATTTTGAAATGCCAAACCCGGGAAAAGACTTGTACCGTTTTGAGCAGATGGGCTGAGTCTTGGCCGGTGGAGAGCGAGATGTTTGAGCGACTGCAGGGCACCGGGGTGAATCACCTTCCTTCCACCAAGCACGATAAGATTGACTGGACACTGATCACGGCTTTCGTTGAGCGATGGCAGCCGGATACGAACCCTCTACGCTTGCTGTGCGAATGTTGTACCACCGAGGTATGATCGATGGGACAGGAAAATCGGATGACAGGTCCAGTCGGATGAAATGTTTGTATTACGACCCAAGAAATGCAATAGCTAACTCTCTGATCGGTGTAGTGACGGTCTCACGCGAAGACCAAGGGATAACTGTTGTACAAGGATAATAAGCTCGACTATGCAATCCCAGCCCGAAATGCATTACTGCGCACTTGTAAATGTTTGCAACGACAAAGAGATCTAGTGATGCGTCGAAATAGTGATTCAGACCGCAAGGTCCTCCTCCCCACCGGATACGCCGCAGAGCACTATCCAAGCCAACCTGGTACACATGACGATAAACATCTCGGTTAGAGGCAATTTCACTGTACATCAACTGACGCACTTAACCGTAGCTGTCTTCGCCCATCTGAAACACATTAGCCACGACCCGAAATCCGCAGTTACCATCTCCAACTACATCATTCCACCCGTCCAAGTATGACATGATGATGTTAGGTATCCTATCCTTGTATGGAAACTGGTCAATATCAAATCTTCCTGTTGAACATATCATTAAACACAGTGTAGAAATCATCAGTAAACTCAAAACCATTATAAAACGTAAAATTAAAGTAAGCTATTATACCAGTGTCGGGCATATTCACAGACGTAGAAGACTGGCTACGACTAGATGACGATGTACGACCACGACCACAACAGAATGTACTCAAACGCACTCCTGTTCCGCCGTTGGCGACCTCTAGGTCGCTCGACCCCTTCAGGTTCCTCGTGATCTAAGCAAGATGTGTTGAACATGTCATGAAATACGTGAGTAGCGTCACGAATAATGGAAGGATGACTGGAGGACACTCGGTCATACATCGAACGAAACTGCTCCAACTCCTCCTATTCATGGTCGACCGTCTACGTATCTGCATGCTCACCA